TTATATCTAATTCATAAATTTATAAAAAAATTATGATTAAAAGTTGTCGGATTCGGATATCCACATGTACCCAAAAATTATCTCACGGATAATATATTTTGGGTATTCGAAAATTGGGGTTCGAGTTCGGGTTTTAAATTATGTTATCCGTTTGTTTCGGATTGGGGTTCATGTTCGAGTACCCTAAGAATTCCAGAGATCCGTCCCGTATCCACCCCTAATCCGATCCACGTCCATTGCTGAGTAAAGCGTAAATTCAGCATAATTACCATATTAGGTGACTTATAAACCGAAAGATGTTGTAATGAAAACCGTATATACGAATATAAAAAGTATATATGAATACGATTGTACTGATAACAAAAGATTTAGTTGCTCGATTTTAGTTCCTATGAGACAACAAGAGAGTCTACATGCTTCCTCATCTTTCATTTCAATCCATTTTATGATATTTGTTTTGTTTTATCTTATTTTATTGTGATTCAAATTGATTGAAACCCTTATGCTCATAGACTAGAAATACAGAAACATGTGTTGGTTGCCTAACCTTTGTCGAAACTCAAAAACCTACTCTCTCTCGAAATTCATCGAAAAACGATGATGAACACGAAGAAACTGATCGAGATGGCGGGGAAATGGCAGTACAGAGCGACCCTCAAAAGGAAGGTCTAAAACTTCACAAGCGGCGGAAAAAGGATGTTTCGTGTTCTACACGTCGGATAAAAGACGATTTTCTTTTCCGATAAGTTACCTAAACAGCTCGATCTTTCCAGAACTTATGACGATGTCTGAAGATGGGTTTGGTCTATTGAGCGATGGACTGATCGTCCTGTCTTGCGATTCAATTTTGTTAGAGTATATAATCTCTCTGATTTATGGACGTCTCGATATAGATATAGAAAGAAAAAATGACATTTTCCTACACCAACTTTGTAAAATATGACTTTTTCCTACACGAACTTTTAATTTGACAAAAAACTACATCAAATTATCCAATATAACAAATTGATACATGAACTACCCAATTTAACTGCAATTTTCTACACAATCCAAAAACGGTGTTAAATGTTCGTTAACCGATGACGTGGCACGCCATGTGGCGTCTGACATGGCATGCCACATGGAAAATTTTGTCATGTCAGCATGCCACGTCAGATTTTTTAAGAAAAACAAAAAAATCCGAAAAAAAATTGCAAAAAAATAAACTTTTTTTAAAAAACAAAAACAAAAAATCCAAAAAATAAATAAAAATAAAAATAAAAATAAAAAACAAAAAAAAATACACATATATATACATATATATTCATATCTATATAAAATAAAAATATAAGCTTATAACATGTTTGTATGTATGTATGTATATATATACATATATATACGTATATATGTATTTATATATGTGTATATGTATATATATAAATATATTTGTTTGTATCTATATGTATATATATTTGTATAGATGTTTGTATATATATGTGTATATTTTTTATTTTGTATATGTATAGATATATTTTTATATAGAAGTATATATATTTATATTTTTATTTGTATATAGATATGAATATATATGTATATAGGTATTTTTTTTTACTATTTATTTATTTTATTTTTTGATTTTTTTAAAAAAAAATCGATTTTTTCATATTTTTTCAGATTTTTTTAAATATCTGACGTGGCATGCTGATGTGGCAAAAAATCCATGTGGCATGCCACATCAGACGCCACGTGGTATGCCACGTCAGCGATTAACAGACACTTAACACTGTTTTCGAATTATGTAGAAAATTGCAGTTAAATTGGGTAGATCGTGTATCAATTTGGTACATTTGATAATTTGGTGTAGTTTTTTGTCAAATTAAAAATTTGTGTAGGAAAAAGCCACATTTTACATAATCTGTGTAGAAAAATGTCATTTTCCCATATAGAAAAGATTCTATTGATGGTTTCTAGAGATAGATGTTCATTACAGTGTCCTTTGCAACAAGAATAGAGAAATGAGCAATTGCTAGATGAGCAAAAGTTGTCGAATTCAAACGACCAAATTACCCGTCACCTCTTCTCGAAATATCTTCCATATAAGTGTAGTCTTTGACGCTGACATCAGCAATGGCGGAATCCGAACCTGGGAAGGAAGGAGGAGATTCCTTATCTTGATCCAAGAGACTATTCAAAAGCTCACTATGATAAGGGATCTTTATCGATTCATGATGATGCCCATGAGAGAAATTGTAATACCCCGATTTCCGATAAATTATTTAATTTAATTCCGTAAATAAAACAGGGTAAAAACAAGCCTAAAATATAAGATGAATGGCATAAGTATCGAATCGAAGACAAGTGGGGCTAAAACGGGTCAGAAACGTCGAAAAAACAAAGGAAAAAGGGTCTAGACCGATCGATCCAGAGGTAGACCGACCGGTCTAGAGAAAAAAATGAGAAAGACGGAAAATTGGCCAAGACCGATCGTTCCAGACTGTAGACCGATCGGTCTACACATTTACAAGCCAGACCGAACGGTCTGGACTGGGCGACAGAAAGAGAGCTGTCGAACTGGCACCTTTCGGCCGCGATAATTGAGCGACAAACTCGTCCCCACGCGCCACCACCCGTTGTTTCCATAAAGTATGCGACATGGACTGGCCCTCAAGCGTGTGGTTTAGCCGAATTGGACCCAAAAAATGATTATAAATCGGATTATACAGAGGAAGAAAATTATTTCGACTGAAAAACCTGAGTTTTCGAAGAGAGAGAAAGAAAGAGATATTTAGAACAAATTGAGACGAAGAGAGCTCGGGAAATTGAGGAGGCACGTCCCAAGGAGGTTCCTGGGAAGTTTCAGAGAGTGAGGAGACCTGAGGAGCTCGCACAAGCTCGGACAAAAACGCACAATCGGATTATACAGAGGAAGAAAATTATTTCGACTGAAAAACCTGAGTTTTCGAAGAGAGAGAAAGAAAGAGATATTTAGAACAAATTGAGACGAAGAGAGCTCGGGAAATTGAGGAGGCACGTCCCAAGGAGGTTCCTGGGAAGTTTCAGAGAGTGAGGAGACCTGAGGAGCTCGCACAAGCTCGGACAAAAACGCACAACACTTGAATCCGAGGTGAGTGGTTTGAGTTGTGTTTGTGAGATCTGATTCTCATGAATAATGGTGTAGATTAGTGTTTCTACAAGAGTTAAGGATTTAGGAATGATAAATAATGATTGGGTAGCAATCGGAGTCAAAATCGGATCAAAATTGGGTCAAAAATGGCGGAAATCAGGTTAGATCTCGCGGAGAAGACGAAGTTCAGGACCCAGACCGATCGGTCTAGGCCTAGACTAAACGGTCTGGGCCAACATCTCGCGAACGGTCTGAGGTCGAGGTAGACCGATCGGTCTACACACATAGACCGATTGGTCTAGACGAAAATCAAACGGTCTGAGTTCAATGTAGACCGATCGGTCTACACACATAAACCGATCGGTCTAGACAAAAAAAATGTAGACCGATCGTTCTACCTCAAGACCGATCGGTCTTGCACAAAAATTAAACCAAGAGATCGACCCCATACTTAGTACCGGTTGACGACGTGAGTTAGTACCAGTACGGGGATGTGTGGATGTGGAACCAGTGCCGGTTGACGAACTTGGAGTCAGCACTGGAGGATGTGTGGTTCGGTAATAGTATCGGTTGACGAACTTGGAGTCAGTACTATTACCGAAATGTAATACCAGTACCAGTTGACGATGTGGAGTCAGTACTGGTGTAATTGGGTGGACGTTTTCGTGACGGTACCGGTCGACGAAGTGGAGTCAGTACCGTTATGGAAATGTGTAGTGAAGCCAGTACCAGTTGACGACGTGGAGTCAGTACTGGTGAATCTGAGTGGTCGTCTCTATAATAGTACCGGTTGACGAAGTGGAGTCAGTATTATTATAGAGAAGCAGGGTAGAGTATAGTACCGGTAGACGAACTGAGTCAGTACTAGATGATACCGAAAGAAATGGTACCTGATGGTGCCGGTGGACGATTTGAGTCAGTACTATCAGGTATCGAAAATGTATGGATTAATGATAATATATAATGTTTTTCCTAACAATTTTTTTCTACTTAAATTTTCAGACCAAGAGCTCTTCGGATATTAGAAAAAAGGAAACCTATGGCCATGCAGAATCATTTTCCAAAAGCAACGATAATAATAATAACGTAAGTAACCAAAATAATTTTGACATTCATTATATATCTATACAATTAAATTTCAGACTCATTTTTATGTTATTTTTATACGCTTTTTAGGTATCAAAAGTGTCGGATTCGACGACTAGAGAAACGAATCCGAGCTTAGAGGCAAACCCCATATCCAAGAACATCTCCATGAGAGACCTCATCGCGAAGGCAAAACAAGAATTGAAGAAAGTACGAGAAAGGAGGCTTCAAGAACGATAAATCCGTTCAATCTTTGAATCATGTCTTTTATTCTTGTAACATTTTTTTGAAAATATGAGATTTGAAATCATTTGTTTGATTATCCCAAACTTTTACATTGCTGTAACGGGATTTCCATTTTTTTTAATGCAAATGTAAATATATTACTTGAAAACTAACCAAATAAATTTCATAAAATAAACAGAAAATAATAAGATGGAAACTAAGTTATGGAAATCTTGTAACACCGGCTCTTCATTGTATTTGCGATGGACGGACTGATCATACTGCCACGTGATTCAATCTTGTTAGAATATATAATATTTCTGATTTATTGGCGTCTCGATATAGATATAGAAATTTTTTTACTAATATTGGTTTCTAGTGATAGATGTTCATCACAGCGTTAGTACTCACCAATTGCTTGTGTGTTAAAAGATCGTTTAAGCCATTTTTTTTTTGTAAAGTCTCATATTTTTAGATGTTTTGCCTTTTTTTATAAAATGAAATAAGGTTTTTTAATTTTAATTCCAATTTCTAGATTTCTCTCTTTCTCTGCCCTTTTCTAAATAGTAAAATTAAATAATTTTTATTAATAAATAATCTGATGATGTATTGATAACAGATATATCTCCAAAAATACTAAAACAATGCATCATTTTTCATTTTTTACTCGCTAGATGAGCAAAACCCTGCCACTTCAATGAATTGAAATGACCAAATTACCCCTCCCATATTCTTGGAATATCTTCCATATAACTGCTAAAACTGAATCCCGAAGACTCTATCCCCCTTCTTTCTCTCTCTAAGATCAGTCTTTGACGCTGACATCAGCAATGGCGCAGGGAACCGAATCCAAACCTGGGAAGGAAGAAGCAGAGGCTATACTGAAGAACACGACGGAGTATCTGAGGAATCTCGAGGAGCTGATACGGAAAGTGACCGGTCCGTCGATGGAGGTCTTCCCGACATCCATGGGTTGGATTAACGGTCAGATCTTGTATGCCGTGGAAGACAAGAAAAGGGATTGCGGAGAAAAGATGACGGAGCTGAGAAAGATCCACAACCTTGAACTGGGAGACGCATTCGTCATGTCCATGTTGGATTTCCCGAAAACGAATCTGCGACAAGTGAAAAGGAAAAGGGCTCCCAGAGAACAGATCAAAGGGCTTCAACAGATTCCTGATCTTGATCCAAGAGATTATTTAAATGTTCATTATGATAACGAATCTTTATCGATTCATGATGCCCATGAGAGAAATGGCAAAATCCAAGAGGAAGAGGAAGAAGAAAATGATACCGAATTTGGCAGACTGGAAGTAGCATCCCGCGAAGTGGGTGACATATTTCGGGGTCCCGAAGACGAAGATCCCGACTCAAACCCGAAATCTGAGTCTCTGAAAGATATAAAGAGTAGAGCAGTTAATCTCGGGATCGAGCTGTCAAAAACCCTAGTCGCCTTTTCGTTGCTGCCTGTCCATTCGAGCCAGATCGAGAAACAAGCTCAGTTGGAAGGTTGGATCTTTCGGCGATCTTGCAAGGAAGATTCCGAGGTGTTTTATCTAATCGATTTCCTTCTGTTCACTGCTAAAGAACTCGCCAGAAAGGAAGAAGAAAAAGAAGACAACAACGTATCTGAAGCCGAGAAGATCAGCAAAGATCTGATTGAGAGATTGGCCAAAACAATTAGCGGGTTGCAATCGATAGTATCGTATCTTCAGCGTAAACCCGAGATTTCCGAGAGAAACGAGTTGGCTCGGGTAGAGCGCTTTCATTCGCAGTGCAGCGAAAATCTTGGAGCTGCAAAGGAGGAAACAAACAAGTTGAAGGAAATGTTAGGACAAGAGACGGAAGAAGCTTTACAGCAGGAAATGGAGCTGCAGATAAACAGATGCTGGAATGATAGGTTTTGGGAGTATGTCTCAACATCATGGCTCTATAAGCTCTTGAGTAGATTCCCAGAAATCGTTTACGCTCTGTCCAAACTAGCTGTTCTAGATTCGAATCTCTGGTTAACAGAAAACTAGGGTTTTACACCAAGAAGTTTCAATGATTTTTGTCAAAACACACTTTCAGTCTGTGAAGAAACAGGTTCTGGGTTAAGCAAAGTACCGAAATCAGATTTTGATGGGTTCTGTAATATAGGAAATTGGCTTCAGGACCTCATTCAAATCCTAGGACTCAAAATGCAGAAAAACCTTAAACTAGCCTCACATGGAGCTTTCACCTTTCAGGACAAGGAGACAAGAAACAAGCATAAGAAGCATCATTCCATAAGTAGTTGATCTATAGACCACAGAAGCTGATCTCTCATTCTGAAAATTTCCCAAATTTTGGCTTCTGCTCTTCCTCACCATTTTCAATCCAACACCTGCAAGAAAAACTCGTCTTTTCTCCCTCAATTGGATCCACCATTCATTTCAGTGAAAGCCAAGGTAGTATGCAGTCAGAGTGGTGGATATGCTTACACAGCTTCTCACGAGCCAAGGATTCAAAACTCGGAGGGTTCTCTGCACACAGCGCAATTCGATTCGACACGATCATGATCACTGGTATCGAGTCGATTGCCGCCTCAGAAGCCGGTGGTGCTCCAATCTCGAACCCCGAACCCATCGGGCATGGTCGCAGGTAACGATCGGCGACCCGACCCAGTCCCGTCGTCGTGGTAAAGCTCGTAGCTTCCCGCAGCTCCATCATTCCCACCGCCCCTCGTACTCGAGCTCCGCCGCGGAATCGTCGGAGCACGAGAACGCGTCCCGATTTCTTCGACGAACCCGCAGCCACGATCGAATCAATTCGTGCTCCCGAAGCCGTATCCTGATGAACCGATGGAACCTGCGACTCAAATCTAACAAAAACCCTAGAATCGAGCCTCAATTGGGTGAATCCCCAAAGCGAAAACAAAAAAAAAATATTTAAATTATTTTAAAAATATTTTTCCGTTGGATGGATTTCAAAATTCAATCCAACGAATTTCCATTTTATTATCATTTGGATTAAAGCAAAAATTAATGATAAAAAAGAGAAAAGGAAAACCCATACATATAAATACAGCAAGTACGAAGTCAAACATTGTCAAAGTGATCATCTCAGAGATTTGTTTCTTCGGACATCGACGGAGAGAGAAGAGATGAGTCGTGAGAAGAAGAGGGTCACTGTAACAGCGTCTGATGTTTCCGCCTTGAGAAACAGAGTCGCCGTCGCCATGCACAAGGGAGAAGCTCCGTCCTCCGCCGCCATGGACATCGATCATCTCCTCCGGCGCTGGTTTTCAGAGCTGGTTCGGAGGGAAGAACTCGACAATTCTAAAGACAATGTCCCTCCGAAAACCCAACAGATCAGACAGAAGAACGATCCGAAGAAGGTAACCGACAACAAATTTCAGGAAGAAGACGAACCCCCTCGTTTATCGATAGAGAAAGAACATCAAGATCCTCGCACAGAGATTCAGAAGAAGAGAGAAGCCTTCCGGCTGTCGCTTGACAAGGTTTGATCATTTGAATCATTTCTTCTTCTTTTCTCTCGTCTGAATCGAACAGTCTTTGATCTTGTTTCTGTTCGGACAGATTGAAGCCGATGCCAAAGTGGAGAATTATCTGAAAGATCTCAGACAACTTGTGGAACTCGGTTGCTCCTTCCTTCGCCACGAAGTTCGTCTCATGGAGGAAAACGGAGTACATAACACACGGGATCGGGTTTTCACTCGTTACGACGATGAGAAAGTGCCAAGAAACAATCAAGATCGGGTTTTCAGACATTACTTTCAATTCAAATCTGAAGGGATGAGCCCGGAAATACACGAACGAAGCCAGAGACGCAGTGACGATGTTAAGGAGCAAGAGAAGAAGGCAACGGCAACTGTAACTGTAACAAGATCTTTCCAGAGACGTGACGCGAAAATCACAGAGGAAAAGGCATCTGCGCGTGCGGATATTCATCAGAAGAACGCCATGGCAGAGGAGAAGCAAGAAAAGAAGCAGAAAGGGCGACCAAATTCAGAAAGAACGAAGAATGAAGAAGCTCAATCAGTGGCCATGGAACTGGATAATCTCCTCGACAAATGGAAACAGACGGAGCTCACTCGCTCGGGTGTTATTACCGAGACTCAACTGAAAAGTTTGGAAGACAAATCTCCAAAGACGAAAGAGAAGAAGAGACAGAGGGATCATGCCCTCGGTCCTGATGCAGTTCCTGTCTCGAGCAAGAGAGTTGATAGAGAAAGTCTTAAGACAGAGGACAAGGTAACTGAACACGATCCCATCTGATATTTTGCTGCCTTAAAGATTGTGTTTTGTCTTCCCATGAATTCTCGTTTTAGACTCACATCGTCTCTTTTCAGAGCCGTGACGTGAAAATCGCAAAGGAAAAGGCATCTGCATGTAAGGAAGTTCAGAAGAACGGATCCAAGAACGCCATGACCGAGGAGAAACAGAAAGAGCATCGGAATTCGGAAAGAAACAAGAAGGAAGAAGCTAGAGCTCTCGCCATGGAACTCGATGATCTGCTTGACAATTGGTACCATGAAATGCAACAGACAGAGCCCCCTCGCTTTGGCGTTCCAGTCTCTGAGGAGGAATTGGGTTCGAGCAAGAGATTCGAGGAGGAAACTGTTAAGACAGTGGAGAAGAAGGTAACTGAACAACATCTGATCTGATTGTGTTTTTCTCTTCCCACGAATGATTGTTTCAACTCATTTTCTCGACAAAATTTCAGGAGAAAAAGACGTCGAATCCGATAGAAAACGAGTCCAGCCCGAAGAACGGCTTCAAGAAAACCATGGACAAGGCGAAAGAAAAACACCGGATGAAGAGACAGAGTGACGATGAAAAACCCTCCGCCACGGTGGTTCACTGGAAACGGCGACGAGACGAGGCTGCCGGCCAAGAACCACCAGAGAAAAGACGGGACACAAGCAAGGTATGCCTCCTTGTATCTCTTCTTCAGTAGAAACGCCCTGATATTTTCTGTAATCTGTAATGTTATGATCTCTTACATTTTTTTTTTTTTGCTTAAATTTTCAGACAAAACCCGTACCAAAGTACGATTCCACAGAAGTCGGGTGCACGAAGGACGTTGTCTCTTCGGCTTCCAGCGTGGCAGAGAGAGAGACTATCGCTAAGGCAGTACAAGAGTTGAATGAAGACGGCGTATTTGTTTTGCCCTACACCTTCATATTCTGAAAAACACATACACAGATATATATATACACATATATATATGTGTGTGTATGTATGCACGCACCCACACAAAAGGGTCCGCTGTATTTAGAGTTTCAGGCAAGATTCTGAGTTGGGTACTTTTGTAAAACAAGATTTTTTTTAAAAAATTTCAGATATGATGACTTTATTAGAGTTTTAATATCATTAAAACTAATTTCCTCTATTTTCCAAATAAAAATGGTGATGGTTTTTTTTTCCTCCTCCTAAAACTCTGTCCTTATAGATTATTGCTAGAAATCGACATTGATACGTGAATCGCAAGGCATTGTGATCAATCAAGTCGTTTAGGTAACTTGTATAGCAAGAAACCACCTTGTGTCTGCCGTGTAGGCCAAGAAACAGCCTGTCTAAGACAAGGAAAGAGATTCAGTTTTGTCTCCCAGCATTTTGGTAATCAAACTGATCTCCTAATCGGCCTGATTCACAAAAAGAAAGAAAAAATAATAATTTATATAACAAGAAATGGATAAAATATATCTGGCAGATGAATAAATATGTATAAATGAGTAGATAAATATAAATCTAAGAAGATTGAAAATAATTATAGGATGTTAAAGACACAAAATCAATTTAATTTATTTATTTTTTATATATTTTCTGTTAGTGTTTTCTATAAATACTCAAATTATATTCATTTTAATTCAAGAATATAGTAGATTTTATTAATTTCTTCCGTTTATATATTTCTTATTCTGCATTAAAATTTTCAATAAAACATGTCGGTCCTCGTATGTTCTGTTTCTCTATCCATAAATGATTAAATTCATCATCTTGGTTCTGTGGCTCGGAATTGTTAGATGATTGAATATTTATTTCACAGACAAGAAATTTAGAAACATTATGTGCCCGGTTGTTCAAGCTTTGTCTGTAACCACCTCTCATTGTGCGTGTGTCCGGAAGAAGACGAAGATGGCGAGGAAGTGACAACAGAGAGCAGACCTGAAGAGGAAGAGAATAGCATCGGCGAGTTCATCGGCCGTGGAGAGAGGCTGTTTCGTGGTTTACACAACGGATAAAAGGCATTTCGCTTTGCCGATATGTTATCTTACCGAATCTATCTCTTCCAAGAACTCTTGCAGATGTCGGAAGACGAGTTCGGTCTAATCTACCACGCTGACACCAGAAA